TCAGGAATGTTTCCAGGTCGAGTGTGATGGGGTGCCAAGCCCTTGTCCCAAAGTCTATTTTTGGTATTCCCTGGGGACTTCCTTGTTCTGTTCCCCTTGCTGTTCTGTTGCACGCTCTTAGTGTTTTGCCTCAGTGTGGTGGGATCAGATCAGGCACAATTCCCACATTGTGTCTGCAGCGTTGTCTCCTGTAGGGTTATGGGACAGATTTTTTTTTAAATTATTACATTACAAGTGCAAATGTTGGGTAATAAGGTAGTCAGTAAGTGTATTTGATAGAATAAAGAAAGATCATCTCTGGAGAAAGTCAAGTGCATGAATACAATTAGGATGTAACAGTGGCGGAGCCCCTATCTGTGTTTTTCTAACTGAGAAAAACTGCTTGAGGGCTGGTTCATTCTCTTTCTCCTTATTTTAAATCAGTATGTGTTGTGAAGGCTGCAAAACTTTTATGTTGCTATATTTTAACCTTGTTACGAAAAATTTAAGTATGCTAATTATTTATCTCAAGAGCAGAAAGCTCTCCTCTCATGTGCGGGCTGTTTCTAAATGATTACTATTCTACCTACAGATAATGATTAATAAAAACGGGAGGATACTCGGCTGTCATTTATGATAATACTTAACATTTCTTAACTGTTGACTGTATGCCAGGCACTGACCTGGTGAATTTAGTTATTATGAACTTTGGCTAAGTGGGTATCACTCACTTTCCTCTGCCATGCAATAAAGGAGAAAATGGAAGTCCATACAAGATGGGTAGCTTGTTCAAAGTCAGGGCCACATTACTACCTGGAGCAGCCAGAATTCACTCCCGGGGCCTAGCTCCAGCGACTGAACATTACTCACCGTTCTAATGCCTCACCTGGTACTCATTGACTGATGTTAAACTATACCATTATCGCATAGTGATGGAAGTTGGAGATGGGGCCACACAATCAGCGATATCACCTAATTTTTGGTTAGGGTTTTTATTTAGACATCACATGCCTTTTATTTCATCAAATACATACTTACTGAGAGATCCCTGCCTATGATGTCTCTCATTACTAGGTGCTGGGTGTTTTCTTCTAAAATGAACTTAGCTATGATCTTTCAGAATAATTAAATATCACGTGCCCATGATTAAGGCAGATAATTCGAAAGGAACCTCCTCAAAGTCAGCTACCAACCATATCTTTTTCATCCTTATGTACCCAGATCCTGAATAGGGAGCAGTCTACAGCGCCCAAATGTGTTTGTTGAATATTCTTACTAGGCCCTTGTATCTTTTCTCCTCCGTAATTGCAATGTTAACTTACTGGTTATTACTATTTCAGTTGGATCTTGTAAGAAATTGACTTAATTTTTTTTTTTTTAACCTAGGGGATGTCCCACTCTTGTTCAAGCATTGCCAGGTCCTAGCACACAAGTTACTGCAGGCAGCAACCACACAGCAGTGCTTTTAATGGATGGACAGGTCTTCACATTTGGAAGTTTTTCTGTAAGACAACTTTAAAGCAATATTACAGTGTACCATTGCCTTATAATTTATCAACACTAGCTATCTTTTTCTGCTTCCAGCAAAATTCTTGTATTGTAATTATGGCATATGCACATTCTCTCCGTCCTCCTCCAACACGGACCAAACTTGAATGACATCAGAGTTCTTCTCCAAATCAGCATCAGAAGTCATTGAATTTCACCCCTGTGTTAGGATGTGCTCCAGTTAAAAACCCTGTAGACATTCAGTAGAGATAATTCTGTCGTTCAAAAGGTTATTTCTTGCCTAACTTAGAGGGATTCATAAAATATATATGTATATATAATTATTTCTACTTTAATGCTTTCTAAAAGCCTAGTGTGTTATTAGGTTTGCTTAAAGTTATAGTTTCCTTTTCCTTCTTGTTTTTTCTCTGTGTGTCTTTCTGGTGTGTATTTGCCTGTTTTTCTTTCTTTTGTGCCACCCCTTGGAAAAGGTGAAAATGGTTTGTAAATTTGGTATCATTTGAGCCTCGTGGAGATCAACGAAAACTTTGTAAGACCGTGGCTAAAAATAAGCAAAATAAAACCTAAACACCCATAGCACCTCTGCCTTGGGTTAACTTTGCAGAATTCTGTAATTTAAGTCTCTGGAATGTGCTTCACAGCTTCTAATCTTTTTGTTGTTATTGTTCTCTTTTCTGTTTACTGAAACATTTCTCAGTGTGACCTTAATGTTAGTTTAGACATGATTAGAAAACCAATTCATGTAAATAATTCATTTCAGTGAGCTTGTTCCTTTTTTAAAAAATCATCTGATTGGGGGCTCATAACAACTCTTATCATAATCCATACTTGCATCCATGGTATCAAGCACATTTGTACATCTGTTGTCATCATCATTCTCTAAACATTTTCTTTCTACTTGAGCCCTTGGTATCAGCTCCTCGTTTTTTCCCTCTCTCCCCACTTCCCCTCCCTCACCCACCCTTGATAATTTATAAATTATTATTATTTTGTCATGTCTTACAATATCCGATGTCTCCCTTCACCCCTAAAAAAACAACAATTAAAAAACCAATGTGAACTTAAAGGAAAGAAGGAAAAACCTTTTATTTGAAGATGAAAATAAGAATACTACATAGATCATCAGTGTATTATTTTATTATTATTCACATACTAACATTTTCACCCATCTTTTCAATCATTTTCTCCTTTTCCCCCCTTTCCCTATCTGCATTAATCCTCCTCTTTCTGCTTGTGTGCATTGTATGAATATAACACCTTTCCTTGACAAATCCTTTAAGAATAGTTTACATACATTATGATCATCCACTCCTAAATAGTTTGTCTTTTGTCAGTTGACCCTGGACTAGCATTTTCCCCTTCGCATAGAGTCAAATGTTGCATTCACTTGTCATGTCTCCATGTTGTTGTGATGTGCCATCAAGTCAGTCCCCACTCTTCGTGGCCCTATGTCACGAAGTAGTGCTGCCCCCAGCATTTCCGAGGCTGTCATCTTGACAGAAGCAGAGCACCAGGTCTTTTCTTCTACAGAGCAGCCAGTAGATTTGAACCACCGACCTTTCAGTTAGCACCGGAGCATTTCACCATCGTACCGCACAGCTCTCTCTACTCTCCCTAGTCTCCTATAATCTAAAACATTCCCTCAAGTTTTCTTCTCTGTTGTAATGTTGACATTTTTTAAGAATAAGATTTATTTTTACATGTATGTGCATGTATTATATACACATACATAAATACACAGATGCCCAGGGGAGGGCTTCAAAAGTTGGTAGAAAACGGAATTAGAGTAAAATATAATGGAATTATTCTATGAGCCCTTTGAAGTCTGTGTGTAATGATTTCTCACATTCCTTGTATTGGGCCTTCTCTCCTGTTTGGATTCCGAGAGCGCACCCCAGCGGTAAGCATGTTGTTTGCAGGGCATCACATCTGGAGGACGAAGATGCTGAGCTGCCCCTCAGAGGTTTTTCTTGCAGCTCACAAGCCCTGGGTCAACACATTGAATACCGCATAGATGCTGCTTTTCAAACGTGCTCCCTACACCTTGCAGCCATTGATCGTTTTTTCCTGAATCAGACTTTACCATGATGGTTACAAAATCCTGATTTTTTTCCAGCTCCAAGAAAGCCTCCACACCTGTCAGTCAGCACTTTGCGTTCTGGTATAAGCTAGAGCCCTTCTTTTTATTCATCTGTCTCCCTGCCTACTTACTATTGGTATGAACTCATGCATTCCTATTTTCCCGTTTCTGTCCTTCATTATTTGGTACTTAGGTTGCCCCAGATCCAGCCAGGGGAGCCCTTTGAAGCAGGGCCTTGTATCCTTGTGACGTGCCCCTTGTTTGTGTGTATGTGTGTGTTTTTCCCTTTACTTATTTTTTATCACCTTTGTCTGTCCTGGCATAACAAGACTTCCTGGTAGGTACAGGCTCGTCTTGTACGTACGCTGTCTGAGTGCTAGAACCAGGCTTTCCTTCAGGAACTCTGGTTCTTTTTAGCAGGGAATAATGCTCAACACAAACTGGGCACTAAATGTGTCTACTGCTGACGAGCATCTTTGCTTTCTCAGTACACATCTGTGTCTATACACGTAGATTTAAGTGTTCTAGAAGTCACAAGTTCACATGGATACTGTCAGCTACGTTCTGTCCCCACAGGGTTCTGTCTTACATGCTTCCATTCTGCATCTGTTAGTCCTCCTATTGTGTAGTGGAAATTCTGGCTCCGGACAACGTTAAACCTTTCTTGCTTATTCAGTCAGTCCTAAAATAGAGGTCTCTGCCTACGTTGGTGTCTGCTGTCAAGTGGATTGTCAAGAGTGACAGCGTAGAACTGCCACACAGGGTTTCCAAGGCTCTGAACTTCGTGGACACAGATCACACAGGGCTTTGCTCATGGAGCACCATTGGTGGGTTTGAACCCACCATCTTTTAGCTAGCAGTCTTCCAGTCCCTGATGTCCAAGCTGTGAACTCTTAGGAATTTAAATGTGGCCCTTTGTAATTACAGCCCCAATCCCTGTGGGCCTGTTGAACATCTGTCATACTCTTGGACTTCATTGTTTCACAGCCACTGCCATTAAGTCCATCCCAACTAATTGAGTAGATATTCATTTCAATATTTCCATGGTATCTAAAAATATGACTAGTTTCACTGTACTTCCGAAGTTTAACACACCCCTGAACATCATATGTTTTGCCATGTTCACATTTTTATATTCCTCTCTTCCCCTCCTGCCCTCTTCCTCAAAGAGATAGGGGTGGACATTGAAACAGTGTGAGAATAAGCATTGTACCTTTTGTACCTATAATCTGCGTGCCACCTGCAGTCTCTTCCTTCCCTGGTTCAGCCAGAGATTGAAGCTCACCTGCTCTGTAGCCAGTGTGTGGCTATGTTTCCTTGCAGTGGTGTCGAAGCAGGCGTAAAACAAATAAGAATCTGGTACTTGAGCCAGAGCTTCAGCAGACTCTTGGGAGGATCCCTGGTCTTCATGTTTTCTGCTTTGGTGGCTTATGTCCATTACCGACCGAGGAACTTGTTAATCCCCTTGGGTGCTCTGGTGCAGTGTTTTAGTGGAAGTCACAGTGGATTTGACAGCCGTGGGTTTGGTTTTGTATCCTAGATTGGAATGCTGTGGAGAGAGTGCTTCAAAGCCAGGCCTAGGTGAATATTTTCTGATCACCAAGAACATTCTTTTTTTCCTCAGCTTCTAGCTTAGTAGCAGAGACTTCTCAGTGTTTTTTTGTTGTTTTTTTTTGGTTGTTGTTTTGTTTTGGGGCTTTGTTTGAACTAATAAGGGGTTTATTGAAGGAGGAAAAAAAAAAAGCTGAAGCAGCTCCCATAAGACCCGGGCAGGAAATTCAGCTGGGCTGGAGTAGGCACTGGGAAGTAGGCAGGAACAGTGGGCCCTCTCTCTCTTCCTCCTCCACTTTTCCAGGTCCCTCTCCTGTCTTCCTTAGCATCCTGGCCAGCCTTTTCTAATGACAGAGCTGCGTGGCCTAAGCTGCGCATCTGAACCCTGGCTTTTCCCTCTTCTTCATAAGCAGCTTAACTGTTTCTTATGGTCGCTTGGTATACACGATCTATAACACAGTCATGTTTTTAAGTGAGTTAACAATTATTTCCTTAAGATATTTTACTTCTCTGCTGCTTCTCAAAACATAAATGGAATTGCAAATTTTATTCACAATTACAGTTTCAACTATCTATTCTTTTGTCCAAATATTTTCAGATAGTGTGAACTTATTATCTTGTTCTGTCAAATATTCAAAATAGACTAACTGTAACATTTTATGCTTTTATTTATAATACCTCTCCTTTGGATAAATAGGTGATGATAGCAATAGTCTCTGGCATAGAAAAATACTTCAACTTTCTCACTATTTTAAAAATAATGTTCTTAGTGATATATTGAAGAGATGATTCTTAGAAGCAATAGAAGTTATTGTCTTACTTGATGCTTGGTCATACTTTGATACATATATTTTTAAATGAATGATAATTAACAGTTAATAAAGAATAATGGCTCATCTTTCCTTTGTTACCCTTTTAAAAAACTGTATATAAATTATAGATCATTTATCCAGTAAAATTGTTAACGTGTTTTATTTTTCATGTTTTAGAAAGGACAGCTGGGCAGACCCATTTTGGACGTACCATATTGGAATGCAAAACCAGCTCCCATGCCTAACATCGGGTCAAAGTACGGCCGGAAAGCTACCTGGATAGGTGCAAGTGGGGACCAGACTTTCTTAAGAATTGATGAAGCACTTATTAATTCTCATGTGCTTGCTACATCAGAGATTTTTGCTAGCAAGCACATAATAGGTAATACCCAGAGTAAACACCGGGCCCCCACTACACTTTTTCCCGTATCAACGCTGAATGGTTTTACCTTCCTTTATCATGAAATAGATTAATGTGGTTTTTGGATTTTGTTTGGTTTTTTATTTAAGAAGTGTGAAAGAAGCCTGCCTGTCGCTGCCTGTGTGTTCTGTTTATCCATTGGAAGAAGGGAAGCAGTAGGAGATCTAGACTCTAGAGTATTGGTGAGCTAGAGAGGATGGAAATATGATCTAAAATTTAACAGAATAAAATCTATATTGGAGTGAGAATATTGTGTACGTGTATTTTCTGCAGTTTCTCATTAAATAAGTGATAGAAATTAAATTTTACGGCAGTTTACATTACTCAAACTTTAGTGTTTTCTTAAGACTCAGGTTTCAGTTCAAACTTGTGCTCTGTCTTCCTCAAATAATTATATTTTAGAATCAGATATGGTAGAGACTAGGAATATGGGTTTTAAATTTTGTTAGCTTCAGGTTTTATTTTCTAATTGCACCAAATAGAGGTTTATCTATGTTTCAATGGTTAAGTGCTTGCCTGCTCACCAAAAGGCCAGCAGTTTGAACGCATCAGCAGTGGCTTCTGAGGAGAAAGGATCTGCTGACCTGTTCTTGTAAAAACTGTCTAGAAAACCCACAGGGGCAGTTTCTACTTTTTCCTGTAGAATTGCTATGAGTTAGACTCAACTTGATGATGCACAATAACCTTGTAAACCATCCTTTTCATCATCTGTTGGATGAAGAGAATAATAATGTTTATTTTGTAGGATTTGTATGATTGTACAGTGATCAAATGCCCATTTAAAGTGAGTATACATCTTTCCCCCCCCCAAGGCTTGGTACCTGCTTCTATATCAGAACCTCCTCCTTTTAAGTGTCTTCTGATCAATAAAATGGATGGGAGCTGTAAAACTTTCAATGACTCTGAGCAGGAGGATCTGCAAGGGTTTGGTGTATGTCTTGATCCTGTGTATGACGTAATCTGGAGGTAAGCTTCGCTGCATGTAAAATAGTCATAATTAAATTGGATCAAATTATACTTTTGCAGTAATAAAATTTATGCACAGGCACTTTCCACACAGGAGGGCTCTCCTGTTTAACTCGCTGAATCAACATGAACATTCATTAATTCTTTTTCAGCTGTAAGCTTGATGAGCAGGTACTTTTACAGTATAAAAATATATAGTCAGCAAACTCAGAATGACCTCATCAAACAGTATAGGACTGTCTTATGGGTTACCAAGACTGTAAGTCTTCAGAAGCCGGCTGTCACATCTTTCTCCAGTGGAGTGCTGGCTGGTGGGTTCAGACTGCTGACTTAGCGTTAGCAGCTGAGCTCTCCAACCCACTGCACCTCCCAGGCCCCTTCTTTACAGTTTAGTGCAGTGATTCAGTTAGGGCTTCAAACGGATTCACTCCTGGACATTGCAGCAAAAGGCAAACCGACCTGAATTTGTAAAATATGGGTGTACTGAGATGGAAAGTAAAATGGGAAAGATTATGAGTTGAAACCTTGGTATGGGAAACTTGACAGAGCTGAAGAGAGTCCTTCTGGAGCCCATCTGAGAAAGGGGATTGTTAGGACTGTGGAGCATTAACACATTGAAAATGGGAGGGGTCCTCACCATCGTTGATCTGGGCACTGTTGTTTCTGACTCTGCCAGTCAAGAGATTCGATTGCTATGCAGTGAGCTTGCCACATTGGTTTTCTAAGAAGGAGATTGAGTTTCTGAAAGGGCTTCAACCCGTAGTAAAATTTGCCATTCCAATACAGCCACACTTTATAAGTTCAGGTTTGTTCCAGTTTAGCATAGTTTGCCATGACTGAATTGAAAAGAGCCCTGCTTTTAGAGCCAGCATTCTGAGCCTAGACTGTGTAGGTGTATGCTAGCCCCACAGTTTGCTCTCCACGTTACCTTGGAGAAGCTAGTTTGGCTCGCTCTGCTTCAGTTTTCTCTTTCACATAAATATCCATTAGTGAATACATAGGATAAATTATGCTAAAGAAAAATATAAGACTACATAAAGTATATTTATGACAGCATGTCCAATTATGTGCTGTTCAAAAACATGAAATTTAAGTGACTTATCATGGTGATATAAGTATATGAAAAGTGGAAGAAAAACATGACTGTGATAAACAACATTCCGGATAATTGTTCCCTGGGAGAGTGAAAATAAAGGGGTTGGTCTGTGGAGGGAGACGCCAGGGACTGAAGAGCTCATTGTACTGTCTGTACCTTGTGCCACTCTTCTTCAGTCCTTGTTCTTCTGAACTCTCTGAGGCTGTTCTTTCTGTATCTAATCAATGATTAATAGAAGCTTTCCCGAGAAGTAGGGCAATGGCAGGAGCTTTAAATTTTGAAAACTTATTATTATTGTCACTTTACTGTGTGTTAGTTATATTGAACCCCTCCATACAGTCCATTAGTGTTTCTTTTCGGCAACAGTGTGTCACGCCCTTTGCCCATTTGTACTGTTGTACTGGGTCACAGGCACTCTTAACCCATCGGGGATATTTTTGTCTCATTTTGTTTAACATTTCTCAGGATTTGGTTCACCTCCATCATTTTGTTTCACATGTTTACTTTTAACTTGTCCCTTTGAGCTATTTTGATGGCATTTTTGCGATACTGGACTTTTCTTTTTTTCCTTGCGGCATCAACTTTTTAAATATAGAGTTGTTGACGGTGTTAGACATGAAGTGTTGCGGTCCACATTACCATTTTGTTCTAATTAATTCTCTCGTGGTGACAGGAAGTGTTTTCTTTGAGTGTTTAGCTCAGATATGGGGAATTAGGAGCCCACAAGCCGTATTTCGGTTTTCGGTTTGTTTTTTGATGATATTGTAATTGTTCCATTTCTCGGAAGGTTTCTACCCAATACGAGAGAGCTCTGGTGTTACAATGCAGTGGTAGCTGATGCCAGACTGCCTTGTGTGGCAGAAATGGAGTCCAGATGTGGCATCCTGAGTCCTGAACTTGCCTTACCTACAGGATCAAGGGCGCTCACCACGCGCTCTCACGCAGCCCTGCACATTCTAGGTAGGGTTGCTATTTGACGGTCAGCACAGGTTTGCTGGTGTGCATTGAAGTTTGGTTTTGATTTTTTTTTCTTTCAGTTTTAAAGTACCCAGATTTGAATGTCACTCATTTTGGGTGTGCCTGGTATAGGTGAAGTTCTCTCTCTGCAAGAGGCCTACCCTAAAAAAAGCCTAACATCAGCCATGCCAACAACACAAAAGATTTGAGTTTAGCGAAATGTTAAGAAGCCTTGAATACTTCCCTCGTAGGTAGATCTGTACTTGATATATGAGGGAGTTTCAAAACGTTTGTGGAAAAATGGAATTAATAGATTATGTTATTTTCCCATGACCTAAACATTTAGAGGTATTATAAAACTTATAATCATTTATGCATATTGCTTTAAAATAACAGATTCTATGTTATCTATGACAATTATAGATCACTCTTTCATCTCTTTGCATAATCCCATTTTCTACAGCATGTCAACATCACCTACTAATTTTAAATGTGGTACTTCTTCATTCCATAAATGTTATTGTTATAAATTTATACCTACCCACATAACTTCTTAACTACATTTGATTTTTTTAATGATCCTTAAGAGATTCATTATGGTTTTTCTCTCATTTGTAGTTGTAAGGTCATAATTATCAGTATAATTCCTCCATTATAAATACTTTAACTTTTCCACAAATTTTATCTGATTACCATTGTAAACATCCCAAGCTAGCATCAGTTACAATGATTTGTGTGGCTATTGTGTCGTCCTCAAACCGTTTTTAGAATCAAATTGAAATAATCCTGAGATTATCATAAAATGAGACTTCCAAGGAATCCAAGGTTAAGAGAATCCAACTTTTCTGTAAGTCAGTCTTTGTACAGCACTTTACCAAATAGTATATGCTTCAATATGAGAACAGAAGAGGTGAAGTTTTTATTGGTGTAGGAATCTTCCATGAAATTATGCTTAAAACTTGGAATAGATATGCTGAGTATATGTATAATTTATTTACTTTTAGAGATGCATAGAATTCTCAAATCATCAGTACCATGGGGAATTGTAATTTCAAGGAGTTGAATTTTGTTTGCCGTTTTAGGTTGTCTCGATACCTTGGCAGCAATGCAGGATTTGAAAATGGGCGTTGCAAGTACAGAAGAGGAGACTCAAGCAGTAATGAAAGTCTATTCAAAAGAAGATTATAGTGTGGTCAACAGGTTTGAAAGTATGTATACTTACCTATAGGAATACTGTCTTATCACTGAAATGTACATGGGTATTTATAAACATCACTTGTCGTTCGTATCTTTTAGGTCATGGAGGGGGTTGGGGCTACTCCGCCCACTCTGTAGAAGCCATCCGTTTCAGTGCAGACACTGATATTTTACTCGGGGGGCTTGGTCTGTTTGGAGGTAGAGGAGAATATACTGCTAAAATTAAGGTAAGCAGTTCATTGGCATTGCTGTCCTGTTCATTTGAACATGCTGGTTTTGCCCTGGGTCACTTTTCTTTTGTCTTTTTGAAAGACCTTGAGGAAGCATTGCTAAAATTCAATACCATAGTAGTAAGTCATTCACCCAGACATGGGAAAATCAAAAGTCGAGTCAGAAGGAGGAATTGGAAGGAAAATGACTTGACAGTAAATGATGTGCCTTTTATTACCACAAGGCCCCGAAAGTCCTTTGCGTGGAACATCTTGGTGGAGAAGGAACAGCAGCATCTCTTTATATGACCCTTTCCTTGTAACCCTTTTAATGGCAGGAGGCACAGTTGTTTAGGTGCAGAGATTTTTTTTTTTAATTATTTTATTGGGGGCTCGTACAATTCTTAACACAATCCATACATCCATACATTGTGTCAAGCACATATGTACATTTGTTGCCCTCATCATTCTCAAAACATTTGCCTTCTACTGTAGCCCTTAATATCAGTTGCCCCTGAATTATTTTGTTTCATTTTTGCTTTATTTCTGTACTTCTGATTTGTTTCTTCTATCTTCTTCATCAGCTCCTTCTCTTCTGTCTGCCCAGGGAATGTTGGAATTCCTTTTGACCTGCCCCAGCTCTGGTTTCTTGCCTGTATTTGCCCTCTGTTCTTCTGGGACTAGCCACCCGGTCTCTATACAAAGTGGCAAGCTTTTTGGGCTCAGATCCATTTTACAGCTCTAGAAATGAATTAAAGAATGTTTGTTTTTGTGGGTTTTTTTGTTTATTAATATTTATCTTCCTAAAATTAGAACACACTTAAAATATACTCATCAACTCATTTAATAATATAAACCCCCATACATACTAACACAAATAGCATTTTTTTTTAGAAATAACCTTTTTTTTTTCCCCCAGTGAGAACAAGCATTTGATTTGACAAGCATGTCATCACTTTGCATTTTTGCCTATCATTTAGTCTCTGTCTTAATAGGAAATAGACTCTCACATCTCCTCTACTGCTCTTTAATCTCAGTTGCTGTGTGCTGCTTTGGTTGAAATTCATGAACAGAATCTAGTTTTACAAAAGGGATGATTTAATAGCCTTTTCAGATATTCCTGTAGTTTTCTGCACACCTGAAACAAACACCCATCATTTGTGGCTTCATTCAACATATTTAGTGCTGAGGACACATTAATAAATTACATGTTTCTCACCTGTACAGAGCTCATTACTAAGTGAAAGACGGGGTCCCAGGGTTCCACTTGACCTACCAGTGGAATTTAATGCAATTGATGTCTCATTTGAATGTCTTTCATTACTTGACCCATTGCCATTGAGTCAGTTCTGACTCATAGGATCCATACATTGGTCCTGCTGTATTTTAAAACTTTTTTGTTTTGAAATAGTTTTATTAGGACATAATCTACATATCATACAATTCAATAGTTCTGTCATAACAAGAAGAGTTGTACAATCATTACCACAACAAATTTTAGAACATTTCCTCCTTTCTTGTACTCCTTGTTATTAACTCCCCATTCCTCCAAAACTCCTTACCATGCCCCCAAGAAACCATTAATCCAGTTACTGTCTCTCTAAATTCACCCATCCTGGATTTCATATATGGAAAACATACAAAAACAAAAATCAAAGAAACAGAAAAGCTAACAACAATAACAAAAGAGAATAGAAACCTTAATCGTAAAGAAAGAAGAAAATATTAAAAACTAGAGCAACTTTAAAACAGGTCAAAAAGGAGATCAAATGATAAGGTGTTAAATTTTAACCTAGCTACATCTGTTATAATCCATTTTCCCATGTAAAAAAATATTTAATAAATGTCACAGACGTCCCAGAATTTTTTCCAGGTACAAGGTTTAGTGCTTTCAACCAAATAGACAAAAGATTTTGGTGTGGTTTTGTTGATGAATTGAATGATGTGTGAAAGAGTAACTGGTGGAAGGAGCTAGCAGAATTGTCGGGGGCGGGTCTCTGACTAAGGAATGTTTGAGCAGAGACCAGAATGAAGAATGAGGAAAGGGCCAATCGCAGGGGAAGCATTTAGGCTTGTTTCTATTCTTGGTGTTTCCATTCTTTCTCTTCCCTGCTCCTTTCTTGACCCACTCCAATTAGGACTGTACCCCACCCATTCCCCTAAAACTATTCTTGTGAGGGCACCGGTACCTTCTCTGTGGCTAAAGTTAGTAGTCTCCCCTTCTTGACCTGTCAGCGGAATTTAATGCAATTGATGTTTCATTTGAATGTCTTTCTTCACTTGACTTCCAAAATATCACACTTTGTTTTACTCTTGTCTCACTGACTAGTCTTCCTTGTCTCTTGGCTGGTCCCACATCATCTCTCTAACCCCGCAGTGCTGGAGCGCTCAGAGGTCAATTTGTGGCCACCTTTTTTAAAGTATCCTCACTCCCATAGTGTTCCACCTTCATGTTTTTTCCTGTGGTGACTCCCAGATTCCTAGAGCTCCTCCATAATGTATGTACAGTTGGCTACTCTGAATCTCCATGTGGATTTTTGGTAGGTGTTTCGAATGTACATGTCTGTAATTAAACTTCTGGTGTGACTTGCCTAAACCTTCTGTCCCCACTTTTTCCCCATTTCAGTTAGACATCTCGTGTCACTTTTCTACTGGCTCAAGCCAGAAATCTTGAAGTCATCTGTGACTTCTCTCTGTCATACCATAAATGCACTTCAGCAATAACTATTGTTGACTCCGGTTTCAAAGCAAATCTAGAATCTAACAAGGTCTAAAAACTGTTACTGGTAACCCTTTGATACAAACCACAGCCATCCTCACCTGGCTTATTACAATAACCTCCTCACTGATAAACTCTGCTTCTGCACTTGATCCCTTCTGTTTAATCTCTGCACAGCAATTGGAGTGGTTCTGTTTAGATTTATATCAGGCTATACCAGATTCTGCTCATAATCTCCCAGGGTATTCATTTTAGACTAGAAGCCAGAGTTCTTAAAAAGACCTACAAGACCCCACAAGAACTAATCCTCATTGCTTCTCGGGCCTCATTTTCTACTATTGCTTCACTCTAACGCTGGCCTGTGCCTCAAGGATGCCGGCCAGCAGTGAAGTCTCAGGGAGGTTTCCATTGGCCATGCCCTCTAACGAGAACTCTTCTTCATTTCAATAGCCGTGTGACTCCCTTCCTCATCTCCTCCAGGTCTTGGCTCCCTGGTAAGCCGGTTTAAAACTATAACACACACACACTCCCTTTTACCATGGACTTGCTCCCAGTTGCCCCCACTTTTTGTTTTTGTTTGTGTGTTTGGTTGTTTTTGTGTTACTCACGCCTGTGTGCCCAGTTCTTAGAATCGTGCCTTGGCAGATAGTATGTGTTCAAATTGTGTTGACCATAAGCAGGGGGGGAAAGGCTAGGGGCCCAATATTTACTGCTTCCCCCCAGCCCCCCAATCATATTGTGAAGTAAACGATGAGAAATCATGGAGGAATCTTCATTAGGAAGGCATTCTGATCAGCTGCTCTGCTTAAAAGGCATACCTACAGTCATTACAGAAAAGAAAATCCTCTACTTAATGGGTTGTGGATGAGAGCAAGGGGAAAATGAAACAGAAGAGGAATGACGGTGAATGTAGTTGAATTGACAAGCTTTGATATCAGCAAAAGAGTACATGAAGCTCGATAGTGATAACTGAGGGCTGTGGAAAGAGGGTTATTAGTAGCTTTTTAAAATTTGAGTGGCTCAGGGAGTCATAGTGCTATCAATCCTAACAGGAAAGGAAGGATGAGGGAGAGATGAATCCCTTCTGACTGTTGAAAATCAGCCACTTAGATGAATCCGATGACTGTTGAGACCAAGAGTCTGAAGGTCACTATAGGATGGAAAGTTAACATGGTGGTCCCTGGGCCTGTTCCTTAAACTTCCCTGCCACCTTCCATTCCCCTTTCTGCGTGTAGTTCACCTGCGAAATCCTCCAAAGAAGCAAGGGTTTCTCTTGATATTGGTCTCTTATTACCAAAAGACGTCAAGCTCGGATTTCACTTTCTTTTGTAACCTTTCTCTATGTGGATACCTTATTTTGTCGCCATCCCCAGACTCTGTCACCCTTCCCTCCTGTTTTATGACCTCCCCCCCCCAAAAAAAAAACCCAAAATAAAAGCAAACCTTTCCTTACTTATTTTCCCTCGCAATGTTGATCTGAACTGTTTTTGTCAGTACTCTTCAGGAGCCTTCTGTTATTTCTTTGCTCTATAACTCACATTTTCAAGCCTAGTTTGTGGGGGATTTTTCTAAATGTTCCATAAGTTTTGTTTCATTTAATCCCAGAAGCTGCTCCGACGCAGCCACCACCAGTAGCCACCCCCTTTTAGCAGATGAGGAGATTGAGTTCAAGATGCAGAGCTAGGAAGCAGTGAACGAAGCAAGAGTCTGATCCATAGGTTCCCAAGTTTATTGGGCCTACAGTCTCCTTTCCAGAAAAGAAAAGAACAACAATGAAATGCCTCCCTGATCGCCCCCTGACCCCCCACCACACACCCAGCAATGAAAAACTTTTGTACTATAGCCCACACTCCAAGATAAAGTGTAGGTATCTGCTTTTTCAGACCCCTGCCCAGTCCCCCCACCCCACCCTCACCCCCACATCAGTCCAAAGCCCCCTAGGGTGTGGTATCACCTTGAGAAACACTGGTCTCATCTAGGCCGTGCAGTCACAACATAACCCTTCTAGCTCTCCCACCAGTGGTCTTCACATGGTGGTTTCGGACAGACAGCTTTTGTGTATTTTGAACACTGGTTCTTAAGTACATGAGTATATCAAGTAGGAAAATCGGAATCAATACAGGCCATAAAACGTGTATATTTCTTAACTTAGACATGTATGTTTGTGTACATCCTGTTGATAACATTAGAAAAGCAGTAGCTCTGAGTTTTACATTGTGTCCAGTTAAGTATATAGCGGATGCACACAACATGATAAACATTGTCGTTGGCAAATTTCTCTAACTGAAGATTGCAGATTTTTTTCTCTCTTTCTTTCTTCCTTTCTTTCCCCAGCTGTTTGAGTTGGGTCCCGATGGAGGAGACCACGAGACTGATGGAGACCTTCTTGCAGAGACTGATGTGCTGGCCTATGACTGTGCGGCCAGGTAAGTGCTTTGTTCAGTTTTTGTGCACTCATTGCTTACTGTCAATTAAAAATGTAGTATAAGTAGAAAAAAGTCATTTTAAAGGGAGAGCTTTAAAATCTGTGCTGTTAGACCCTTCCCTAGCGAGACAGAATTGCTTTTAATTATGCCGTATTAAAACTAATAACCTCTTCACATTTTCAATTCAGAAGATAAATTGACAAATTACATTAAAGATAAAATGGAGGAAGGATGTCTGCACATAATCTGCGTACTTTTATTGTTAGGTTTGGTAACTTTAGAAAAACAGGAAATCTTGGTATTTGCATAATGTAGAGCCAAGTATATTGGACACATACAAAGCTTATGAACATACTCAGCAAATTTATATAACTGAATAATTGGCAAACTCACTAATTTTTGTCTCAGAGAAAAATATGCGATGATGTTTGACGAGCCTGTTCTCCTGCAAGCTGGCTGGTGGTATGTGGCCTGGGCTCGGGTGTCCGGCCCCAGCAGTGACTGTGGCTCTCACGGACAGGCTTCGATTACCACAGATGATGGGTAAGTGCAGGGCTCCCTTTCAGGTTGGTGCAATGTCATTTTGAAAACTCAGAAGATATTTGTCAGGACAAAAGCATTAATAGGACGAGGGCATAATATGACTACTCATAAAACTAAAGGGTAATCTTAGACTAAATAAAGTTTAGACAGAACGAGAGACCATATTTTATTTTCACATACACGTGCACATGCATATAACACACATGCCATGCATAGGAAAATCATGTGAAGAAGTTGCAGAAAAAAAAATCCCAATACTGAGCTCATTTTTTGCATAAAAACTCATTAACAGAACTGCTGTTTTTGCTCTTGTTATTAAATGTTTTTCTGGGTACTAACCCCCTTAGAAGCTTATTTCCAAAGGAAACAATGGCAAGAGGAAGGTTACAAGGATAGTGAAGAGTATGGAAACCATAAAATAGGAATATATATTTATTATTAAAGTTGGGAATTGAAATAAAAACAATTTGAAATGGTGTATCATTTTTATGAACATGTAGGTAAAGTTTATTTTTTATAAATCATTTTATTGTGGGCTTTTACAGCTCTTATAACAGTCCATACATCAATTATATCAAGCCCATTTATACATATGTTGCCATCATCATTTGCAAAATATTTTCTTTCTGCTTGACCCTTGGTATCAGCTCCTCTTTTTTCCCTCCCTCCCCCAACCTCCCACCCTGGTAACACCTTGACAAATTATAAATTATTGTTACTTTCATATCTTCACACAGTCTGCTGTTTCCCTTTACCCACCTTAGGGCAGGTGTGTTTTATGTCGATCATTGTGATTGGTTCACCCTTTCTCCCCTCTTCTTCCCCAACTTTCCACCTACCCTCATGGTATTGCTACTCCCATTATTGTTCCTGAATGGTTTATCTTTCCTGGATTCTGTGTGTTGAGATCTCTTTTCTATACCAGTGTCCATGCTCCAGTCTAGCCAGATTTGTAAGGTAGAACTGGGGTCATGATTGTTGGGGTGGAGGTGGGGTGGGGTGGGCCCGGGGTGTGTGTGTGTAAGCATTAAAGAACTAGAAGAATGTTGTGTGTTTCATCGGTGCTATACTGCACCATGGCTGGCTCATCCCTCCTTGTGACCCTTCTGTGAGGGGATGCCCAATTGTCTACAGATGGGCTTTGTGTTTCCACTCCGACCCGCCTTGTTCTCATGGATCTGATTTTTGGTTTGGATTTTCTGGTGCCTGATACCTGATCCAGTCTAAACCTCATAATCACACAGTCTGTGTGCTTCTTCCATGTGGGCTTTGTTGCTTCCCTGCTAGATGGCCACTTGTTTACCTTCAAGCCTTTAAGACCCCTGACAATATATCTTTTGATAGCTAGGCACCATCAGCTTTCTTAACCAGATTTGATTATGCACCCATTTTGACTTCAGTGATCGTGTTGGGGAGGTGAGCATCATAGAATGCCAGGTTATTAGAACAAAGTGTTCTTGTGCTGAGGGAGGGCTTGAGTAGTGGCCCAGTGTCCGTCTGCTACCTTGATACTTAACATATAAATATATGTACAGAGACTTATATTTCTATCATTATATATTAATATATTTACATATGTATATGCCTGTTTTTATACCTCCATAAATGTCTTTTGCCTCCTAGTTCTTTCCTCTATTTCCTTATATTTTCCTCTTGCCCCACCATCATGTGTACCTTCATTCGGCTCTCAGTAATTCCTCTTGGCTACATTGCACTTCATTAAACCCCAACGGGCATCTACACCCTCCTCGCCATTGATTTCAGATTCCTTGTTGTTCCCTCCTTCCCTTGTCCCTGGGTTTGTAGGCTCCCCTCCTTCCTTGTCTCCTTGGAACCATCGGTCCTGTTGTTTTCTCCTTGGGATTGGTTATCTTGCCTTACATAGATATACATGAAAAGAAGAAGAAGAAAAGGGAGGGCTATAAATAGTTCCAGGTCTGTCTGCCGACCCTTATGTATGTTTTCTAATCAAGTCTGATGAGGTGCCAAGCCCTGCCCTCTGA